TCAGTGTGACGTAACTTCCGCTGCGCAAAGGATTGTGGGTCAGAATGGCCAAAGAAGCATGCTGACATGCATACTGCGAAATGTGACCGGATGTAGTAGAACATCCTGGTACTTTTGGCATACTGCATCTGACATACTATGTATTGGGACACACTAATTCTTTTTCTGGCATACTAAATAGTATGGTAGTATGGGTATTGGAACGCAGGGCAAAACCAATGATGCTCAGTGGATGTCAGCTGAAGGAAGGGAGAGAGGGAGAGACCAAATAAACACGAGGCAGCTTTTATAGCCTGGAAGCCCAGGTGAACCTAATCAAGGCAATGACCCTCCCATGTCAGCCAACTGCTTGATGAGGCTGGCTGGAACATTCTCCAAGACAGTGGGAGGGGTGTCACACACCTTGTTGCCAGCAGGAGTGTCTAACGAGTGAGTAAAGTTAGCAAGTGCTGGCAGTTTGCTCATCCACAAATAGCCAGGTAGTGCCTATATGCCTTTATCACTATATAGGCCTACCTGTTTTAAACTACTCACATAAAGTCATTAAAATGGGGTAAAATACGGAAAAGTTATGGAGAGGTTTAGGAATTCTTTGGTAAAAATATGTGGGAACCCTGTTTGTAATTGGTAAATCCACTCATCCATATTAGCCACTTCTACAGGTTATGTTGATTTCATCAAAGGTCAGTTCTGTATTTGTCACAACAATTACAGTGAAGCTGCCGCTGGCAATAAATTCTTAGTTCTCAGGGTCGAAGCGAAAAAGCCCGTGGAAAGTTAGTGAAAGAAGTTTGTAGTTGTGTCGTAGACTTTCAGCTCGACAGTCTACTTACAGATACCAAGTCTACGTAGCTTTGTGAGTTGTTTGAGACATTTTCTGCTCGGAAGTGTATGAAATTACTGCTCAAGTTTATTAGCTCGTTAGCCGCTAACTGTGTGTGATAGCATGCATTAGCACAATGTGTAGACTCATACCAGCGGGTTAGCTAACCCAGCTAACGTTAAAGGCTATTGTTTTCCGTTTCCAACAAGGAAGCACTGAAGATTTTACAGAGTGTGCTGATAGTATTAAGTTAAGAGTTCGCCTACTGCACATGCCATTGGAAAACGAAGGGACATCGCCGAAGAACAGAGCAGCATTGCCAGAGCACAGCCAAAGGACTGGTAAAGCTGCTGTTTGAACTCCAAACACTAAAGTATGGTACTATATTTTATTTTATGCTCTTCTGAGTGAAGCAGCCATACAATTTTGGGCTTCTCCGCACCCGAGCATCGTAACAGGCCTGCAATGGGGGGTTATTTTGTCTTGTTTTATATTAATATTTGTTGTATTGTGCGTGTGTGTGCTTGGTGAGTGTGGGCCCACATTTTTGGTGGTGAATTGAAGGATAGGAAAGCCTGAATTCCCATTAAA